GTCTACAGTATTTTTACAGTCTTTATATTACAGTTAAAGTATATGTTTATCATAAAGTCTAAATTTACAACTAATCCAGGATCCCTTTAAGTGTTTTGTAATTTCAGTCCATCTTTAATTAAATGTTAATCAGTACACATACATCTGTTCTAAACAGGGATATTTTGCTAACAGACAAACAGATGTGTAAAAATGTGAGAACTAATTATGTTTTTTGCTACCTCACTGTGAAAACCAACTGTTCCTGAGACTGGATCTTTAGGGGATTACCAGAACCTCTAATAGGGTCTGGGTCCAAYTAGCAGCAGAACCAAGAGTGAAGTTCACAGATCCCTAAAACCAGTCAGTAACCTCCCACAGCAGACAGGAAGTGAGAGGATTAACCTTTATTTTTTTACACAGACAGGTTAAATTTAAGATGAATTTTTGTTAACGTGTAAAAAAAAAAACAACCTAAGTTCTGGTTCCTGAAACCCGACAGCATCCCTGCGAGGCCGACATTAAAAATGCATCTGACTTGTGACGGGAGGAGGAGGGCTTTGATGTGAGCTGTTTGATGTTCTCAACCGGACTCACGCCCACACCTCACATCATCGTGCTGCACCCACGCAGCCGAAGATCGGCCGCTGAATACCAAAGATGCTGCAGCAGCAGCAGCAGCCGTCAGCTGCGTTTTATCTGCAGCGTCACCTCTTCGAACAGGCTGCTGCAGGAGCACCGGCACGTGTGGTCGGGTTGGGAGAAACTCAACAAAAATCCCCTCGCCGTTTAAAAATTCATCTAAACCTGTCTGAAACATCCACCAACCTCTAAACTCTGACTTCCTTTAATCACAGTAGTTTGGATGGATGCTCTCTGAATGAGACAGACAGACACGGGACAAACCAGCAGATGTTTGGGAGGAAACCATCTGAATCACGAGCCACAGAAGTGTTGGGTCATCAGGAACATTTGGTTTTAGCTTTCCAGAGTTTGGTGACGAGTTTAAACTTCCTGTTTGGAAACTCGGACACAGAGTTTAGACCAGGAGGGGATTTAAAGGATCCATGATTAGTTGTAACATTAGACTTTATTTGATAAACATTTATTTTAACTGTAAAATAAAGACTGTAAAAATACTGTAGGATGTTTAGTTTTGTAAATTTTTAAAAATATATTTTAACATGGACGGAGCCATTTTATTTCCACACAAAGCATTCTGGGTAAATGATGACGTGGATAGGTCCTCGGTGCGAGGCTGCTAACGAGCTATATCCACCCTGAAGGTTAATCTTGGACAATATCTGATGATCGACTCTTTTAAATGAAACCAGAGAGCGTTGACAGAGAGGAGAAGGTAGAAATGACTCAGCCTGGAACTGAAAATATGGATGGAGGACAACAGAGCTGCTTCATGGAAGAACAACCTCAGATTAGACTGTTAGCTTTAGTGTTAGCCACAATGCTATCACCATATATATGTATTAGCTCAGCGCTACACATTCTCCTCTCGTCACTGAGGTCCTCCATCCATATTTTCAGTTCCAGGCTGAGTCATTTCTACCTTCTCCTCTCTGTCAACGCTCTCTGGTTTCATTTAAAAGAGTCGATCATCAGATATTGTCCAAGATTAACCTTCAGGGTGGATATAGCTCGCTAGCAGCCTCGCACCGAGGACCTATCCACGTCATCATTTACCCAGAATGCTTTGTGTGGAAATAAAATGGCCCCGTCCGTGTTAAAATATATTTTTAAACTTTTAGTTTAAAAATTATAAAAAATGGACAGTCTACAGTATTTTTACAGTCTTTATTTTACTGTAAAAATATGTTTATCAAATAAAGTCTAAACTAATCATGGATCCCTTTAAGAGAAACAGTCAGTTCTACATTAAACCACACTTAGTCCACATCTGGTTCAGAGGATGAYGTGTTTTAATAACTGAATCATTTTTATAGTGAGGTTTATTCACTTCAGGGTGACGTTCTGGTCTAAAGTTTCTCCGCTTTCAGTTTTCAAATGTAGCATCCTGGAGATTTAACACACTATTTGATCATTTGTTTTTTAAAAACAAATATAAAAAAACAACTAAAGATGATGGTTATTCTATTAATGTCAGTGTTAAAAGTCTGGTTTGAGATAAATAAAAAGGATCATTTTTTTCTGTTTTTAAATATGTTAAAAAACAAAAACATGGATGCTTTACAATCAAAATCAAACCCCAGAGTCAGATCCCTCCACTGTGACCTCTGACCTCTGACCTCTTGTTAGAACTTCATGTGGACCAGTGACACAAGTGATGTGTATTTATACTTCTGCTCTATAAAACTTTAGTTCTGCTGCTTCGTTTGAAACCCGGTCCTCAAACCTGCTGTGTGCACAGTCCTGTTAATCTGCTAATCTGGGTTCCTTCAGCTTAAGGAAAGTTCAGTTTAAGACTTTATGACCTCTTTAATGACACTTGAAATTAAATTTAAGACTAACTTCACAATAAACAAATGAAAAACAGTTAGCAACAATTTTACCCAAATACAACTAGGCAACATGAGCGTCCAGTAAATTTAAAAAAAAGAAATAAATGGTACCAATTATTTTAATATTTGAGACGACTACAATAATCCTACTTACAATGTTTTAACATTTTTAAGACCTCTGAAACATTGATGTAAGACATTTTAATGATAATTAAAGCCTTATTATTGGATTTATGAATTTAATGACTTTCAAGACTTTTTAAAGATCCGCGGGAATTAGCTTATTTAGCAGATTAGCATTTATGCTAAAGGTGGAAACTGTTAGCAGACCAGTTTCCAGTTTTCACTAAATCATTTTAAGTTCACTARAAAAGATTTTTAGGCATTTATCCCAAATAAAATAAAAACTATTCTCTCTTACAAGCAGTGTTGAACGAGGCACCGTGTGTTAGCATGTAGCATCTTTAGCAGCCAGGCAAGAGGGTCACAAAGAAATAAAATAAAATTTAACAATATTTAAATATAAAAAATGGTAGAAACCATATTTGYTGTTTGACAAACTTCAAACAATATTTATAAAAGTATAAACTCAATCAAAGAAAAGCTTTTATTATGAAAGGGTTAAACTGGAAGTATGAATTTAAACAGATCTATAACTCTGGGTTGGATTGGCTGATTTTCCACAGATGATCCTGCCCTGTTATGATTTAGTGTTTGGACTTCCTTCAGCTTTATTTTTCTTCTTTTATTGCTACATATTGCATAAAAATATCTTATAAAGCTCTCTTTGGTCATATAACACTTTACGCCAACTATAAAAGCTACTTAAAGCTCTATCAGGAAGAGAAGAAGCCAAATGTTTGAACCAAAGCCCACGTAATACAGACCGAGGCAAAGTGGAGAACTGTTCAGTTTGGAAACCAGGAGAGAAACCGTCATCCTGTTATCAGTTCACAGTTTTAAAGCCTGCCTCTCTGATGGTATGGGGATGCATTAAGCCACCATGTCTCCTCTGAGGCATGGCGTTTCAGCCCCTCGRCCACTGCCAAGTCGGTCCGTTCAGTAATCCGTTCAGGCCCGAGAGGCAGTTTTCACACATCGGTCCACTGTGGACGAGCACAACAGTTAGTGCACATCAGGCAAATCCACACTGCTCGTGAACCCAAGCCATCCATCAGCCTGCCTTTCACTGGGCTTTTCATAGCAACAAGGCAGCCTCGGCCAGAAGTCGATGTGATAGATTCTTTTTGCTGCTCTATTTATAGTAAAATGATGTAATGGAACGAGCTGCAGTAAATGATGTAGGAGCTGACTACAGGAAAGCTCTGAGCAGGTTTTTGAAACAATGAAAATGTGTAACCTGCTGCTCCAGCTGCCTGCCCGACACACCCCTCCCACATCCAGCCTGCAGCTCACCAATCRGCCACGAAAAGCCCTTCATAACCCATAATCTGTGATGGCAGCAGATTATCCAGCCCTGTGCACAGATGATTGATAATCCACAGATCCTGCTTTTTTCTGACAGGCTCCKGCAGACTGCAGCCGAAGCTCGCTTCACGTTTAACAGACCCCAACTCAGAACCACTGCGACGTTTTCTGAGTACAAACCAGCCTAAAACCTGGTCCAGTATAAGTCTTTTGTAAGTGCTGGACCCTCAGAACCGTTAAAAGGTGGAGCTTTTACCGCGAAGTCACCGAAATGGACCTTTCATCATCTGCGAAATCTGAATCCAGCTTCAATTCAAAGTCGTTGTAGAATCAAATAAAAAACTGCGGCAGAAAAATTAAAAATGCATAAAAATTAGACTAAAACATAAAAGCTCACTTTAAGAAATGCATAAAAACAGTTACTTTAACAGAGGTGCATAAACACAAAGTTGAGCCTTTGGAGGCAGGTTTGACAGATGAAAGCAGCTGGCTAACAGGGGGCTACAAGCACAACTGAAGCGGGAACAGGGGGCTCTGGAGACGGACTCACCGTGTGGTTCACTCCCCACATCAACACGCTGAGGATGGGCTCACTGGCGCGGAACAACTTGACTTTCTGTCCTATAAAATGCTTCTTTTTCGTCTTGGTTTTGCTGGCGCTGACGGCCGCGGCACTGCTGGTGCAGTTAGATGACATGACGAAGATGAAGATGAAGATGATGTCCGCTCACAACGAAAACAAACCGGGCAGAACTCAGACGTGTGCGCAGGGATCTACGGGCGCATGGTGGCCAGCCTCCCAGCTCTYGGTGTGCGGAACGATTCGTGCTGTTCGGGAAGTCAGCGGCGGAGCATTCTGCGCCGTCGTCACCACCCTTCCTCCTCCGAGCAGCTAGCCGGCCATCGGGCCACAGCGGAGCCGCCTTCGCTTTCAACCGAACCCCGCAGCGAACGATGAGCCGTCACCGGGCGGCTCGTCTGGGTCCTCCTGGGAAACCCGCGACCTGAAACTGGAGCGGTGCTGTTTTATTTGGAAGCGTATAATCCCGTCATGATGCGCCGGAGACGGTTATCAGCCGCCCCGCCAGACGAGCGGTGTGTTTAGGGTGTCCTCAAGATGGCGACCGCACTGCGCCTCCTACAGGCCGCAGAGCGAACTGAAGGGGTTCCCGTTTTCAACACGACAGCTGTGGGGCCGGCCCGGMCGGTGTTGGGCCCAGAAACACATGCCTGYCCACAGSTYCATCTAACCCAGTGYTTCCCAAAGCTGKGGTCRGGACCCAAAGTGGGGTCCCGAAACATCAAGGTGGGGTCCTGAAAATATTTTCTGAAT